TTTTACAAGAATGATGACATCTCGACTTCGTACACTTTTAGAAAAGATACGAGGAGATATCAGGCCCGTCGCAAAGTGGTGCTTCCCACCATCCAATATTAATTACCCACCGTCTCCCCTGAAAAAAAGATGTGAACTAATTTTAGCATTCAAGTTCCTATTCGCGGCCACTCTGACTTAAAGCCTCGCCCCTGTCTAACTTAAAATACTCTGACGACGCTTCTGGGTGAAAACATTCTTAATGATAACTGATTGCGCCAAAAATAACAACGAAAAACAATCACAACGGGGACGCGAAGAACTTTCTGACTATAAAATCTTTTATTGATATCGTGTTTCAAGTTAAAAAAAACAAATTATACAAGTGTAAATGTAGCCTATTACAGCTTACTTTAAAATAATTTTGCAGCGGTATAAATTTTATTAGGCTAATAAAAGCGGGCATATTATGGAGTAGTGGATAGCGACTCGGATTGAGGAACCAGAGAGCCGAGTTCGAATTCCAATCGGATCCATTATATTCACTTACGTGAATTTAATGGATTACGTTATCTCATACCCTTGGGAAGGCTATGAATTCTGCCACCCCCACTCCCGGGTAAAATAGCAGGGCAGACTTTTACTTTTCGGCCCACCAACCACTCCTGCTTACAGAGAGATGGCTCGTAGGACTTAATAATGTATCTTGATTCCTAAACCTTCAGGTGATAATCGATATTAGCCTTGCTCAGCATTGAGTATATGTCCAGCCTATAAGTCTTTGGTATTTTTAAATTAGGAACATAACAGAAGCCTCAGATTAAGAACATAACAGAATATAGAAACTAGTTATATCATACTATTTAACCCATAGCTTGGCGGCGTTGGTAAAGGAGATAAAAGATGCGTTCATACCTTTCCCAAATGAATACAATAGCTTTCCATTTTGTGCACTGTTAGCCTTTAATCTAGTCGTACATTTAAAAAGCGGTTTCTGAAGAGAGCCTTGACAATTCAAACTAATTTTAATGTCAGTATCCACTATGCTGGTTTTTGCATAGTGAACGCTTTACTAAAATATCATGTTACATAGAATGTAATATAAATGGGTAGCTTGCGTTTAGAGCCTTTGTTTAAGGTTGTACTTGTCATTTATGACTTCAAACAATTTATTTAATACAAGATTAATGTTTTGTTAAAACAAGGAATCTGAAAGAACTTATTCTAAATTATGCAATGAATCTTTTATAGTGTTTTCCTCCTTTATTCCCAGGGATTTCGTACAACTGATATACGATACTTTCCATGGTGATAAAATTCTAAGTACGTCATGTAAAGACAATAAAAATATAGAAAGGTAAAACTTATTTCGACGTTATGTATTCAATGAGATAGGTTAAGCAATTAAATATCTCCATTTGAAGTAAATATGACATTCGCAGATATTAACTACACGTTACAACTGGAAGAACAGAACTTAATTGATTTAGAAAGAAACATCTGCCTGATCTGAGAAGGACCAACTGCTTTCAGGAAGTTATGACAGCCTAATTATCAGCAATTAATCTCTCGGGTTTATTTGTTAATTTCTTTATTAAGAGAATGATGTGCGGGTAGTTTAAAGGATATCGGCGCTGAAAATAGAGCCGGCGAGCCGAGTTCAAATTCTGTTGCGTTAACTTGCACACCAGTGCCTTTGCTAAAGGTATGAATCTGCTTGGTTTGTTTAACGACATATCAACGCGTTATGGGTCATTCAATACCAAAATTTAATTTTCTTCGGAACTTTGGTAATTATTTTTTTTCAAAAATGGATTACTAGTAATTTTTCTCTTCCTTTTCCAGTAATGTATTGCTGGTATTTTTTCGCTATGAAAATGTCTTGCTGGTATTTTTAGTACAAAAATGTATTTTTGTGGTTCACTATTTACCCATAGCTAGGACCCTAACAGGTGCTACCACCCCGGGTCAGGTTGTGCCTGAGAACAACAGCAATTTAGAGGTGGTTCTACGCTCTTGAAAACTTTCCAATCAGAGGCCTTGCTGCCGGATGTAATTTATCGTCATATACAGGACTACATGAATCCGTCTCTTAACCCTTCCCAATATGGATTAAACAGTAGGGTAGACTGGACTCTAGCTTTGTGCGACAACCAGTATAAGAGAAAGGTAACTGAATTTCAAGCCGTGGAGAAAGTAACCTGAAGCTACTCCACTGTTTCCTCAAAAGCGCATGGCATAGTAAAGAAAAGGAACCAGTGGAGAGTTAAGATCACCAACGTCCAGAATGGACATGGCATTTTAAATAGTAGGGTAGATTGGGATCTCTAGCCTTCGGTGGTAACCAGTGTAGGAGACGGACGAAATCACTTCATATCTTTGGCAAGAAGCCATGGCATTTAACAGAGAATTGAGAAAAGAAAGTTGTGGAGAGTCATTATCTCGTTCTACGACATAATGACTCACCACAGCTAGATTTGCTGCTAGGGAAGTTGGTCCACTGTGTTATGTTAGATTCTGGCAAGAAAAATTGTCTATCTTCCACGTTTATATGTCTACCATTCATCTATGTATTGGATATTGCTGTTACGTCTGGTTTGATCTGGTGCTTCTGCTATGTATCTAGAGATCTTTGATAAAATCCAAAGAATCTGAAATGTTATTTGTCCTGATCTGGCATCTCAACTTCAGTCACTTTCCCCACTGCCGTAATATAGCATCGCCGTTTTTTTCTATAAATATTTTTATGGTACCTGTTCTGACGAGCTTTCCTCTTCGGTGCCTCGATTTTGCGAATTTAAGCGCAGTACTAGATTGGCAGCTAGGTCTCATCATCATACAGCTGAACTTGGTAGATGTAAGCATATTTTCTATGTTATTACTTCCCTCACACTTCTCGCTTGTGGCCTCTTGCATTGCAGACACATTTGATCTTCAAAAATTTAAATGCAACGTCAATCGTTATCTTTTCTCTCCCTAAAACCTTTCATTTTGTCCTTTCACCTTCATAATGATTTTTTACATTCAGTAACTTAGTGACTTTATCCCCTTGCTTGGGTTGAAATGGTAAAGAAACTCTGGCAGTACAAAATTTCAGATTACTTTTTTTTCCGGGATATCTTTTATCAAAATGTTGCTAAATAGTTGTAAAATATTTGTATTAAAATTTTTATTTTTCTGCATTCATATTGTCAGGAATTTGAACTTTGCCTTTGCTAGCTCGAGTAAACGAATGGAGCTGCAAGGTTTAGGAGAAAGGACAAAATTTATTAAGAACTACAATGGACAGGAAATTGTGGAGAGCCATGATCGCCCATATCCTGAAGGGACTCGGCACGTAGAAGATTCTTTTTAGATCTGTTCAGGGTATGGTCTCAATCATTTTGTTGTTAGGATAATGTTCCAGTCGGTCTGCTGCTTTTCTCGTGAGTTCCATTTACATGGAAAGAAAGAAGATCTTTCTTGTTTAGAAATAGAATAAAAAATCGACAAGAAAAACGTTCTAAAACGAGAACATTAAAAGAAGTTGATTATACTAGGTGGTGGGGGTGTAATTATTTTAGACAAAAGAGAACACAACCGAAGAAGCCTTTATGATAATGGACATTTATTCGGATAAAAGGCAGCGGATATATATTTCTAAAGTTTACCCAATAAAAAGCTCGAGTGCCACTCAAGATAGTCAGCTACGTGCCGTACAGTATACACGCTTGGGCGAATATGGCTGACTAGGCAGGCTATATAACCCAGTCTGTCCTGGTATTCGACCCATAGCTATAGGAAAAGAGATGGATGGCTTCATACATTTCCCAAGAGTATTTGTACGTAACTAAATATAATTAACTCGACTGGAATTCGAAATCGGCTCTCCGATTTCTCATAACCGAATCCATATCCACTGCACCACAACGCATAGATAGAGGGTTACTGTTATATTGACTGAGTTATGAGGATCAGGAGGACAGATAATAATTGACCCTTTAATAGATTGTAGGAATTAGGTAACCATCCAAACGGGTGTCTCATCCACAAAGTAGCAGTTCTTGGTAAAAGAAAAGCAGAGTGGAATATGGAAGAAATGAAGATGATTCGACTCCTTGGACGTAGCAAGGCGTGCCTAGCACTAAAAATCTGAAATGGTGGAACTAGAGAATGGAGCGCTCATCTGAACATTTGTCATGGAAATAGCAATAGAGCAGCGATAGGCTTGTGAAGTTGCATCTATGAGGAAGGATGCTGTTTTTCTCTCATAAAGTTTTGAACTCTGTTGAGGCGGGAAAATAAAGATTGAGTCGCTCCATCCCAGAAATGGTAGCGGCACTGATTTTGAGACTAATAAGGAGTCGGGTACTTCCTGAAGCGATAGAATCAACTGGCCATTTGTCAAGATTCTTTAAGAAATCAATGTTGACACAAAGTCCAGCTTAGAAATTACTGTATATAGTTTTTGTGAAAAATGTCAATATCTGGGAAGTCTTTTAGCAGAGGACGGAAAGTGCAACACTGAAATCCGAAGGTGCATTGGAATTGTCAAAGATGCACCCAAAAGCTAAGAGTAATAAGAAACATAAACTTCATTAGAAACAAATAAAAATGCTGAACTGTTATATGATATCTGTCCTTCTGTATGACAGTGAAATCTAGATAATCTCCTCAAAGATGAAGAAAAGAATTGAAGTAAACAGAAATATGCTTTTACAGAAAGATGTTTGGGATACTATGGTCCAAATATATGAGCAACGATTAACATTATGTACATTATTTACATTATTCGGACTATTGTTCTCATCTTTGTCGCCATATTTATCACAACGTTTCGGCTGTTGTACGCTCCGGCCTTCTTCAGGTGGTTGGAATGTCGAACTGAACCCTTTATTTCCGAATAATGTAAATAATGTACATAATACTTTATCTCAGAAATATAGACAGATTAACATTATCTATATTCAAAATAAATTTTTTGAATGATGACAGCGTATCTCAAAAATATGTGTCTTCTATTGCTATCTTTTCTTTTACAGGTGACCGAAAATGGCCCCTCACCAGGAGAAGCCTCCCGTGCTGATCAAGTTACTTGTCTGCGGAGGTGGAAATGGCGCCCATGTTCTTACGGGTCTCGCCTCATCTCGTCACAACGTCAAAGTTAACGTTTTGTCATTGTTCGCCGACGAGGCAGAAAGATGGCGTAACACTTTGGGTGACAGCCATTTTGTGGTTAACTTCCGGGAAAAGGATGGAACCAACAATATCATCACCTCTCGTCCTAATATGATCACCAACGATGCATCGCGTGCCGTACCTGGATGCAATCTCATCATTTTCACTGTGCCCGCATTCGCGCACGAAGGTTACTTTAGAGCCATTGCGCCATACCTTGAGCCAAACACAGTGATTGTGGGTCTGCCGAGTCAACCTGGTTTCCAGTTTCAGTGTTGCGATTTGCTTGGGATTGGAGGTCGAACCTGCGCTATTGTTTCTTTCGAATCACTTCCTTGGGCTTGTCGGATCGGAACTTTCGGTCGTGAGGTGCAAGTCCTAGGACCAAAAGATACTCTGGCTTGCGCTATCATCATGCGAGGCTGCAAAAGTTTGTTTCCAATTTTACCAACCATCCAGTATATCATTGGAAAAGAACCGAAGCTAACCTTGGCTGCAAATTATTTGTCTATCAACCTTTTGGCCGATTCTGTTGTGCATCCACCAATGATGTATGGAACCTGGAAAGATTGGGACGGCCAGCCAGTAGCTGAGAAGCCTTTATTCTATCAAGGCTTGAACGAGTTCTCTGCCAACCTTCTCGATAAGGTCAGTACTGAATTGGTCAACACAGCTCAGGCTATCCAACAGAAGTATCCTGAAATGAATATGAAGGACGTCATCCACTTGTTTGATTGGTATAAACTCAACTACAAAGAAAGTATCAAGGATATGAGTAACCTCCGGATGGCAATGAAGACCTGTACGGCTTACGATGGACTGGTTCATCCCATGAAGGAAACGCCCGATGGAAAGTTTGTGCCCGACTTCCATTATCGTTATATGACAGAGGATATTCCATTTGGAATGGTTGTATTCCGTGGTATTGCTCAGCTGGCGGGCGTGCCAACACCTGCTATGGATGAAACACTTATTTGGGGCCAGAAGATCTTGGGCAAAGAATTCTTAGTAGATGGAGAACTCAAAGGCAAGGATATGAACATGACCCGGGCCCCTCAACGCTTTCACTTCACCTCTCTCTTTGACTTGGTCAACCTGAGATAGGTGGACGGAAATAACTTCTTGAACAAATCACGTTACCTTATTACTTTTTAATTTTTAGTTAAAATTAGATAAATCTTTTTTACCTATTCCAAACTTGAATGGGGATAGCTGCGAAATATTTATCTTAAAATACGTTTGTAAATTCCTCGCAGTGATCGAAAGTTATAAAGATGAGAGTAACGAATGCCTTTTTGTTCCAAATATTATAAAAATAAATACCTTTAACACTTTTATTTGTTGTTATTTGTAACTATTAATTAATTGTTTTTCTACGTTAAATTCTTAACTTACTGTGATTATTCTTGATATTATTCGCAATTAAACTATACGCCGAGGTCTGAGGTGTTATAATAGATCAATATTGGTTCTTTGAGTGTGTCAGTCTTGAAGCCGAAGAATGTTGTGCCATGCAAATATTTTATTATACAATAAAACTAATCCTTTGATTCATTACCTGAAACAGAAGATCTGATCCTTTATTTGAACCAAACATTTAAGATAGTTATTCATGAACTTTGGATAATTCTTCGCTATGGTATCTATACTTTTTGAATTTAAGCGCGGTGCGAGACTGGCGTCAAGATCTCATCAATTTACAGTTGAGCTGGCTAGATATAGCAAATTTCTTTTCTCGCACTTCTCGCCTGTGTAACTTCCTTCAGGTTCCATACTTTCCAGCCAATTTTAATCTCTAAAAATTTAAATGAGCGTCAGTCGCTATCTATTCTCCTCCTGGTTACCCTTTCTTCTTCCTGCTAATGTTTCTCTTCCTAATTCTTTTACACACTGCAACCCGTTGTGCTTTACTGATTTTACCGTCTTGCATGGGGCGATACCAACTAAAAAGAAAAAAAGACAAATGATCTTCAAGCTAGAGAAAGAAAAAAAAATCGATAAATGTGGAAAAAGTTGAAAGAAATAATATTCATTGCATATATATATATACATATGAAAATTATAGACAATTTTAATATATATATATATATATATATATATATATATATATATATATATATATATAGGAAACATGTACGCATCAAGTGCTCCAGACCAGCTGCGATCTTCAATTGGGTACCGTGCTTCAGTAAAGTTTTGGCCCATTAAATTCAGTTGCAATGGTGGACCCGTAGCAGCTGGATGATTCTACGTGGCAACTGCTCTAACCAGTTTATATCTTGTATAGCAATATTTTACTTCTTCTTTTTCGGATCTGTTATTTTGGAGGGACTTCGAAAATACGCGTCATTTTTCCTCGTGTTGTGAAGGCCACTATTTCAAACATGAAGTGTCGCTAAAGTTTAAATAAAAGAATATACTAAAATGTAATTGTGTGCATGTTAAATAATCGATGGCGTTTTTCTTGATTAAAGAAGAAAGAAAATGATTGTAGAAAGTCGTTAATATTTATTCTGTATCTGTTCTTATCTCACATCGAAAGTTGTTAATGTATTTTCCCAGCTTTTTGTATCGAATGAAAGACAAATTATCTTCTTATCATCAGAATGGCTCGAAAGCAAGAAATTCATTTAGCCTTTTCTGAAATGAGTCCAAAATAAATCCTCATACAATTTTTCAGAACGGATTGAAAGTAACAGATTTGTTTTTCGGTCTACCCATGCATTTTCCGTGTCGACAATATAAATGAATAAAGTCACTCATTTTCGTTCTTTCTTCTTTAATCACGAGAAACGCCAGCTTAGGGAAAGTACTAAGATTCATTATTTAGGCATACACATACACACACATATTTCCTTCTTTCGTTTTTTTTTTTTTTTTTTTTTTTAAATTTGATGACTCCTTGAATGGCGAAATGCATAATCAAATCCATTTTCATGAAACATTTTCATTTGTCCAATTTTAAATCTTCGTCTGGATTTCTATATCCTAATTTAAGATCACACACACACACACACACACATATATATATATATATATATATATTTCAGGGCTACAGGAATGTAGGACGCCCATGGCTAAGATACAAAGACAAGCTGAAGAGCAACTCGTCAGCAGTCAATGTACCACATATCACCCTTGAGCGCTTAGCCTTGGAGCGGGTAGAATGAAGATCAACGTGTTTTAGTGGACTCAGCAGTTTTCAATCTGCTTGTCTGAATCATCTTCAAGAAGCGTGAGCAAGAACTAAAAGGCCAGCCAATCTAACAGTGATCTCATCTCACAATCCTCACACTTGCTCCATATGTGGCCTCCTTTGTAAATCACTAGCAGGTCTTAAACGCCACTTAAGATTATCGCGCACAATTCATAACTGAATCAATTGGTTAAGTTGTCAGATCCGCAAACGTCGAAACCGACGGGAGAATTTATATATATATATATATATATATATAGTACAGGTAATAGTTCCGTTGACATATAATCCAGGTGGATCCTAGTAATATCAGATATTAAAACTGATCCATAGAGAGCTCAATGTATTTATTATAGCACAACATATATGTTTTTTCCAGCCAGTCTTGAGCTGAGGATAGCTGGCACATAGCAGTGCTAGGTTAAAATAGACTATACTCTCATGAGGCAATTTTGGATTTTTTGCTGTATATAATATATATATATATATATATATATAAAGAAAAACAGACCACTTTAAGGTTCCACTATAATAATTTATTTCACCAGAGCCCTTTTAAGGGACGCTGGATCATCAGATAACGCTTCCAAAAATGAAATGAAAATTCACACATTTGACGTGTAGTATCAAGTTTATGTAATTTAACAGAGAGGGTAGGGAGGAGTGGTGGTAGGGTCATGGTTGAGTTTAGAGAGGGGTTTATTGTAAAATTTGGTGAAATAAATTATTATAATGGAACCTTAAAGTGGTCTGTTTTTCTTTAAATTATTAACTCTGGATTTACATTGAGCTCTCAGGATTTCATCCTCCTTGGGACTACCCATACGGATTACCAAGTTTTTCATAACTCAACTATATATATATATATATATATATATATATAGTTATTTCCGAACATACATATATGTATTTTTAAGCTACAAATTTTCCATGATTTTTCTTGAACGTTCATATCTGCTCGAAACGTATCATATATCTACAAAAATAACGTAGAATCAGAATATATATATATATATATGCGAATACTAGATGGTAACGGAATGGATCTTCTGGAAGTCTCCATGACACTGATTCCATTCATATGATGGAGCTGATAGATTGTTACCTAACGGTTCCCACGGATGAGTGGCCCCGACATTTATTAATGTTTTACTGCTGATTGGTCTCTCACTTAATGCTCTCTCTCTCTCTCTCTCTTGTATTGATCAGGCCCGTAATGCCCGTGTCACTGAGAAACCCGGACTCGGCACGCGCCAATGTCAATGTTTTTAGCAGAAGTTGTTTCATCATTTATTGTCTCCAGCTCCAGTGATGTCAATGACATCAGAGAGTCCTTTGAGACTGTCAGAAATCAACAAGCCTCAATATTCCCCAATGGTCACGGAATCCAGTGGAGCTCGATCTATCTTGTTAGATATGAAGCCTCCTGTAGAGCAAACTAAACAAGCCCCTCATATAGTGGATCTAAGAAAAAGTGCTCCTGACCCATTTCCTCCCGAATTTTTCGACTTGCACTCAAAAGTTGATGCAGTCTCGTAGATAGTGCAAAGACTATTGTCAGACTAACTCGGAAAGCTGTGTACTAATAAGCGTTAGCTGTGCGTTTTTGCAAACTGACCGAATTCCAAGGGGCATTATTTGCACACTTCCGCCGAACGGATAATCACTGGACTTGCACTTCTTGAAATTTCTGATAAGACATCTTAAACCTTGGTTTACTTATTTTTAGTTCATCAAAGTGAGTTTTTATTTCTCATAATAATATAATTTCTGCTTTTATTATCTTAGATTATATCCTCTTGTGTTTTATCTGTTCCTGACAAAGTTTAGTTTCTTACTATAAAAATTATTATATTAAAAATAAACCGTACACTTGGCATGTTTGTGGACGTTTTGACTTCTCATTCTGCGCGTCAGATCGGGCCTGTGAAGTGATTTCGACCCCCGCCTGCAATCAAATATTAGAACATATTGTTTATCGGTCAGTGAAAAACATTTTTTTTTTATTCTCGGTGTTTCACGTGACCACACTGATGGGTCAAGTCGTTTTGTTACATAGGATGTTGGTTCTATCTCGTTAGACCGGCTTAAAGTTAACAATTCCCTAAAATGAAAATGCGGGACGAGGATGCTGGGGCTTCCCAACCATCGGACCGTCAACACTGTGGGCAGATTCTCAAACATAGGCCCTACGTACTCGCTTAAGGAGTGGTTCTCAATCAGAGGTGCACGGACCCACAAAGAACCGGTTTGCTATTTTTAATCGGTGGGATTTATGAAAGGGAAAAGGAGAGAAAATTAGAGAAATAGAGAAGGGGAAAGAGGGTGGCAGAGAAGGGGAGAGGGAGAGAGAGAGAGGGGGAGGCAGGTAGGTAAGATTTTGCATGTATTCAGCTGTTAGAGTTTATTAATCACACCTATAATAAAAGTAAAATTTGCGTGTAATTTTTAAAAAAGAATCATCGATTCTTAATATGTTGGGTAAAAACGGACTCAGCATCAGTTAATGACGGAAGCATCCTTAAAGTACGGGACGGTTGGCAAACCTCGACTGACTCCAGGTTCCGTTTTGATTCGCAACAAAATATACCTAAATACGTTTAGATGGATAATCATCATATTTTAACCATTTGTTTTATCTTATTTATTAACACGGCACAACACCCGCTCGTTAATACGTAATCCCTTGCAAAGAATGCAAAAAGATCTGTCGAACTTATTCGAAAATACAAAATAAATGGAATATTTAATTGGAATACGACACAGAAAAATTATCTTGATTATATCATTTGTTGCTGATAATATTTAATTGCTGTCCTTGAAAAGTGTATCAATTTCCTTAGATATGAACTTGTCCTCTGATTGGTTGCAACCAGCTTTTGAGTTATTGCATTGCATATTTGATTATCAAAGAGGCTTGCATATCTGATTTGTTTTTATCACCTCTAACTGCCTGCTATTAACAAGCACCATTTGCAATTTCCTATCTATCTATCTATCTATCTATCTATCTATCTATCTATCTATCTATCTATCTATCTATCTATCAGCAGCATGGCCCGGCGTTGCCCGTGCTTGATTCAAAAATCGTACGATTCATACAGCAATCACTATCACTTGACTTAAAATATTTTTGCCCTTCCTTGCCTTTAAAGGAGTACCCTTTTCCGTGCTGATGTTGCTACATGCCTTACTTCTTGCCTATCTCACACTGCGAAGTTTTTCTAAGCTCTATGCTAAACATTAAATCTGTTAAAAAAAAAAAGAACTAAACAAAATGAACACAAAACGATCAGCTTTAAAAAAGAACTCGTAACTGGAAAAACCGAATGAGAAAAGAATGTTAACAACAAATATTTTTTCACACCCAACCCAGTTCAATCAGAATCAACGTTGAGTTTAAGCAAGCGAATGAGCCAATTGGAGTAAAGTGCCATGCAGATTAAAATTTTTCCCACTTGTGACGAATGCAGGTATCGATTTTTTTGTATGCTAGCATGCTAGTTAACATTCGTGTCAGCCAGCTATAGGTTCTCACTCTGGCCAGTAGAAAATGGCCGCAAACTACATGAAAACTGCCGTAGAAGCATGAAAAAATCGATTATTTCCACTATCGATAGGAGTTGGGAAATGCAAAGTCGGTCTTGGCCTTCTCGATAACTTGGAGCATGTGCATGTAAATTTTGGTGCAAATCCGTCGAAAATTGCAGCCGTGCATTCGTCACACACACACACACACACACACACACACACACACACACACACACTCCGCTTTTATAGATAGAGATATTCCTATCTATCTATCTATCTATCTATCTATCTATCAGATTCAAACAATGGTCTATAATGTAATCGATCCTGACGTGGCATCTCGACTCCAGTCATTTTCACATCGACGTGACGTAGCTTCTCTCTGGAAGAACAATTTGACATGATGCAATGGTTAGCAAACTCGTCTTGTTAGATCAATTTCGACTGAGTAGTGAGTTCGATCCTAACTGAGTATCCCACACTTTTGACCTTGTGCCACATCTAAGCTACGCTTAGAAAATCATTTACAGCACTTTGACGGGATCAATTACAACTGGGAGTGAATTCGATCCCCACTCAGGGTTCCATACTTTCGGCCTTGTGCCCACATCGCTTAGAAAATCACCATTGTGAAAGTGATACTTAACGGATGCCACAGTAACATATTTGTCATTGTCCAACAATCTTAACAACATCAGATATGCAGTTGACACAGTTTTGATAGCAGAAACGGAAAGAAAACTACAAAATCTCCTAAAGAAGGTAGCGAAGGAAAGCAAGAAAAAAAGGATTAAACATCGACTTCATGAAGACAGAATGCATGATTATCAACAAAAGATGAGCCCAAAATTCAAATCAAAACAAATACAAAGATTTAAATATCAGGAATGTGCGACACTGAAATCCGAAGGCGCATTGGGACAGTCAAAGATGCCTTCCAAAAGCTAAGCAGAGTATTAATAAACAGAAAAAAAGAAAATAATACTGAACTGTTATGTGGTGTTTGTCCTCCTATATGGCAGTTAATGCTGGACAATATCTTCTAAGATGAATAAGAGACTTGAAGCAACAGAGATGGATGCCGAGGATAACATGGGCCGAATATGTGAAACTTAACATCGGATAGAGACAGTTGAAATTTCTAGGGTACATAGTGAGGAAAGAGGGCTTGGAAAATATGATACTCACAAGACAGATTTAAGGCAAGGGGGCAGATGAAAACAACGCATAACTTAATGAGCTTGAGTAAATGGAAGGCGGAACAAGGTTTAAAAGAAACAACAAAAAGATAAAATTTTTAAGATCTACGAAGAACAGGAAATTGTGGAGAGCCATGGTCGCCTACGTCCTGAAGGGTCACGGCACATAAAGAAAAAGAAGATTAACGTCTGTATTGTTTATAAGGTTTCATGGATTAAATAAAGGACTGTGGCGAGTAACGGAATACAATTGTTACGGGGAAGCATAAAAATGGTCCTTATTCACTCGATCGAGCAGAATCTCTTGTGGTGAGAGACTGATTCGCACATTAGACGAGTAGACATGCGGATAGAGCTCAATGGTTAAACAGAGATTGAGAGGATGAGTTTCTGTTCCAGTTTCCAAACTGCACATTAATGACCCTTCAAAAAACTAACAAACATTTGAAACACCGGTTCCTGTAAGATCCCCGGAGTTAAGCAACGTCGAGCCTGGTCACTACCTAGATGGGTGACCGCTGGAGAATATCAGGTACTATAAGCTTGCATGTTCGCATGGTCTAATATATAAAGGCACGCAATTGTTAATCGGAGAGCCGAGTTTCAATTCCAATTATGTTCGTTATATTAACTTACGCGCAAATACTTTTATGAAACGTATGAATCCACCTCTTCTCCCCTAGCCACGGGTTAATTAGTAACACTTATATCACTAAATCATTATTATCTCAAACAAAAAATTGTAGTAATGTAAAAATGTTTCTTGACTTTAAATAACCTGCAAAAGGTTGATAAGCCGTAAAAAATGAATCAACTAATCAAATGCTGATTAGCTGCGCAAGCATGTATTTTAACGTTAGGTGCATTCTCTAGATTATAAATGCATAGAAACTACAATGGTTATAAAGTGAGGGATCAGTTTATATATCGATTGAAATAGAGAACTGATTCCTCAATTCATATCCATATCATAATTTCTGTTTTTTTAATCAAATTCTGATTAGATATGAAAGTACCTTTTCTCCCCCCTACTACCACTAAATCATTATTATCTGAAAAGAGAAATATCTTACAATTTAAAAATATTTTCTGACTTTAAATAACCAAGAAAGGTTGATAAGCCGTAAAATACGAATCGATCAATAATAATGATCGATTATGTGATTTTCTAATCCTACATAGATCTATGTAGAGGTTGATTCAAGAATTGTGAATTAAATTTGATAGTGGAGACTATTTGGAATCCGTCGATGGTTCTACTAGCACGAAGTCACAAGTCATCGTGACTGAGAGTTTGAACGTTCCGACTTTGTTCAGTTACTGATCATGCCATATTATGTGCTCTCTCCCAGAAACTGAGACTAAGGTTTCGCTCAAATGATTTTATGTAATTTATGAAATATAGGTATAACTCTTTCTAAAAGTTTTTGGAAAAGGTGAATATTTGAAAAGTATTTGCATAACATGCATGAAACACTCATTGAATTTATTTTTAGAATGTTCCCAGCTAAGAATACCGGCTCTGAAAAACATAACCAAATCCGTAAAAATGATTTTAGAAATGTTTTCTCCGTCTTTTTCAGACCATTGATTCAGCATCAAAATGGTTGAACCACCGTGTAAGATCAAATTGCTGATATGTGGAGGAGGCAATGGCGCTCACACCTTAACTGGATTAGCTTCGTCGCGAGCAAATGTTGAAGTGAATGTCATGTCATTGTTTGCCGACGAAGCAGAAAGATGGAGAAAGACGCTTGGTAACGATGATTTCACGGTCCATTTTACTGAAAAGGACGGCAGTGTAACTCCGATCAAATCTAAACCGAAGATAATCACAAATGATCCTGCTCAAGCCGTACCCGGTTGCAATCTTATTATATTTACAGTTCCAGCATTTGCCCACGAAGGTTATTTCAAAGCTTTGGCTCCTTACATCGAGGAGAATGCCGTGGTTGTAGGCTTGCCAAGCCAACCGGGATTCCAGTTTCAATGTGTAGACCTGTTGGGAGAACGAGGCAAAAAATGCGCCATCGTATCATTCGAGTCTTTACCATGGGCCTGTCGTATTATGACATTTGCTCGAGAAGTGAAGGTCCTCGGAGCTAAGGACACATTGTCTGCAGCTATTATCATGAGAAAATGTAAGCCTCAATTTGAAATCCTCCCTACGATTCAATATCTCTTGGGTCCCGAACCAAATTTGACACAAGCTAACAACTATCTGGCCATAAACCTTCTAGCAGATGCAAATGTCCACCCTCCTATTATGTACGGAACATGGAAAGATTGGGATAACAAACCAATGGCTGAGAAACCGCTTTTCTATCAGGGACTGAATGAATTTTGTGCTGATTTATTGTCCAAAGTAAGTTACGAATTGATGGAAACTGCCAAGGCTATTGAGAAGGAATGCCCAGTATTTGATATGAAGGATGTTATTCATTTACATGATTGGTATAAACTGAATTATAAAGAAAGTATCAGTGATGATAGTACCCTACTGTCTTGCATGAAATCGAATAAGGCTTATGATGGCCTTGTTCATCCAATGAAGGAAACAGATGATGGCAAATTCGTGCCTGACTTTAAATACCGTTACATGGCCGAAGACATGCCGTTCGGTTTCATAGTGTTTCGTGGAATAGCCCAGTTGGCTGGAGTCAAAACGCCAGCCATGGACGAAACGATTTATTGGTGCCAGAAAATAATGGGTAAAGAATTTCTAGTGGACGGAGAACTGAATGGTAAAGATATGAACATTACCAGAGCGCCCCAAAGATATAATTTCAAATGCATTCGTGATTTGGTCGATCTGCAATAGGTTTTATCTACTTTATACCTTTTCCTTATAATTATTATTTTTTATTCAAGCATGCAAAGGTCACATACGCTGGACGATGGGACTAAATACAATCCCTTCACAGGTATGAACTAAGGAGTATTTTATATCATTAACCAAACATTTATCCCTTGTTTTCTAGAACTATGAAGACCGAAGACTGCAAATAATGTTCAGTATTGCAGTATAAATCGAAAAAAACTCTTTTAAAAACTTTTACATTGATGATCAATATTTTAATTTCATTATATTCTATATCATTCTATTTTAGATTAATATCAATATTATAGTATAGTACGTTTTCTGAATATGTTATATGCCTTATTTCCATAATTTCTTTTTGATAATCATCTGTTGGGTAAAATCATTATAGTAAAACTTTTCGATTGTGACACTGAACCACAAGAAAAAAACAAATAGGGAGGATTGAGCTACTACTAGCCAAGGGAACGAGTTGGTAATCCTTTTTTGAATAGTAGACACCATTAAGATTATCCTTTGTTATCCAATGTAATGATTATTAAAGATATTAATCCTTTATCGTTTCGTCTATTTTTTTCCTATACACAAGACGCTTTGAACATGGACAGAGCCATGTTTTCGCTCAACCCTGGTTGAATTTAAAATAAAATGTATTCGATGTTACAGGATGTGAATGCCAGTGCTAGAATTGTCAGCGATTAGCAAGAATACTTCGTAGGCATGGTATTCTGACAGTGATGGGTTACCTTTGTCTGGGTTTTCGATACAAGTCCAATATGGCGCTAATTGAACAGAGGGACGCAAAAATTTTGAAGTGTTGATACGCTTTTCAGACGCGGGTTCGAGAGACGGGATAAGACCACACGAGGAGGGATGCTAAGCCAACGAGCGGAATGCCTTACTTTGACTGTCGTTAGAATCCAAGCTGACACGTCTGTCCCTCTCTTCTCGTAAAAAAATGAGTAAGAAAAAGATATCGTCCTTTTCGTTGATACCATCTATAGAGCAACGGCAACTCGTAGAAACTCGTAGAAAATTTGCGTGGCTCTGTCTATCATAATTAGACCAAAATTTTAAAGAGCCGTAGACGAAAACTGGTATTTTAATACAATGGGTAAATGTCCTGAAATCAGAAATGTCCTCGGTGCCGTGCTGTGTTGTGTCCAGTCTTGTGTTTGTTCGAACTATTATCCTCAGCCCAAAGAGTCCATTATTTTCTGTCGCCGCTCGAAGTAGGCGTTGAGGAGTAGTTCCAATCTTTGAGATGACATTCGAGATGGATTTGTTTTTGAAGTTACTTTCCTCTAGATTTTGCCTAAAGAGGCAGGAACTACAAGACAGTGGGTGGTTTTCAATTCAGAATTTCCCTACTGCCAGACTCGTTGCTAACCAAGCCTATAGGACTCTAGGTATACCAAATTTTTGGAGGTACCTACTGTCTTTACTCACAAGCCAGAAACATTGTCTTGCAAAAGCGTATGTTTAATCACGTGCCAGGAAGGCGTGTTTTCAATCCGGTGCAGTGGCGTAGGTATTTTTTTGGTGCCCGGGGGTGACCCTCAAGTTTGTCGTTCTTCCCAAGAAAGAATACAATATTACAATGCACATTAACCCCATAAAGTTGATTATATATATATATATATATATATATATATATATATATATATATATATATATATATATATATATATATATATATATTTGCATTTAACATCATCACTTGATAAGACACCGGGGAGTGTTGAAACAAAATGTCTATTTTTGTAGTGATTTTATAACATGTTTATGTTATAAATTTTTAAATAAATAATTATATATATATATATATAGTGAACGACGAAATTATTCGTACACCCATCAATTTTTAATATATTTATCCATTTCTAAGTATCTAACGCCTGTATAGTGCCAGGTTTTTTTTTCCCGTGTTTCTGTTAACGTGGTATTTATAACTCATCACCGATAAATTATGAAAGTACAATTGTATTTATTTTTTTAAAAAATAAAACTGGGGATATGTAAAAAACTAAGACGTTACTTCTTTTTTCTAAATCGAGAAAAATTTTAAAAACTTTTTACGATATTAAAAGAAAGATAACTTGTTTTTTCTTATATTGTAGTGCGTTAGCCAATCTGTATCGGTGAGAAAATACAAATTAAAAACTGACCCTCTACTATTTTTACTAAATCAAATGCAACAAAGACAGCAACAACAAGAGATATAATCAAATAGGCAGATATTTATTTTTACAAATATTGTTTTTTTTTATCACAAGTACACACGATATAATAATGTTGTTTAAAACATTTTAGAATTCTTGCTTGTGAGATCAACGGTAATATAAAAGGTGTTATGCTACAGATAAAGAATTAAACAGTTTACGTTGATGGTGAAATTGAGTGAAATAGATTGCTTGACTTGCTGTAGAGTTGTCTCCCTTTGGCTGATATAGTTACGATTTCCTTTATGTTGTTAAGATATTCAATGAGTTGGTTTCTAAATCTCATCTTAGTTGAATTGGTCACTAGTTGATGTTGAAAAGAAATTGAATTCCACAAGCCGGGTTGATGTTAATAAAAATTAACTTTTAGCGAGCAAGTTGAGTTTCATGGATTCGTGTGACGAGTTGATTATTTTAAAGACTCACTGACTAAAACGCATCGAAGTTTCATATTTATGAATTTTCTTGAACACTTGGGAGGCTCGAGAGAATGTTTACCAATTTTTGGCGCGTTGAACTCTGAACAGGTCAACTCGAGGTCAACCGTACGAATGTAGGCAGAAACATGGCATTTTTATTTATGGACCAATCAGAAAGCATTTTTTCGTCTTGAACTCTTGAGCCGATTTTAATGGCTTCAGTACAAACTGAGAATACTTAACTGTGACCCTCTTTTAATAGGTTTAAAACAGAGAATGTATAATTCTACAATATACGCTCTGTTTTATTTTAAAAGAAAAACAAACAAACAAACAAAAAAAAACAAAAAAACAAAACATATTGTACTTTTAATTCATAATTTATCAGTTTTTTAAAATATTTATTTCAATCCTAACAAGCGAGGAGCCATAACTTAAATGTCACGTTAACAGAAACAAGGTTCGTTTTTCTTTTAACAATGTAAAAAGATGCAATTTGCATTTTTTGTCTTTTTAAAGTTTTACGTAGTTGAAGTTTTTATTAGCAAAGTAGTAGACTAAGAATTAAAAGTCTGATAAAATTAATTTCACTTTTAAAAACTGAAATAAATGTTATCATACTTTTCATTCTTAGTTGAAGTTTTATTAAGCAAAATAATAAAACATTGCATAGTTTTAATACCGTGAAAACTTGTAAATTAAAACATTGAAAAATATGCCCATTTTTGGACTTTATTTAAATAAAGTTTCTGCATTTAAAACATATTTTTCAATTTTCTTTTAAATCTCCGTTGAAAAAAAATTGGAATGCATGTGATATCCGTAAATCATTGGAATTACTTCAATTTATTTATCTATCTATTTTATAATTTATGACAAGTAACGATAAAGCTAAGCCTATGATAAGATAAAAGACAATTGGTTCACTTATTTATTTAATTTTTTTCCGTTAACAGTTCACAGAGGTGAAAAATCAAAAAGAAAGAACTTACTAAAGTCTGGACTTCTCACATAGGTGTGAAAAAACTGAATTCACTAAATTCATTTAATCCAACCCCAAATGAAGCCCTTTAAAAATGTTCAAATTTTTTCCACACCTTTTGCTCACGTCTTGTAAGTGGGGTTTATACCCACCAGCTGACAGTGTTTTGGAGAATTTTTTTTTCTTTTTATTGCTGGCTGGCTGGCTTTGAGCCAGTCATATCAAAGACAAATTGGCTTCGTTTGAAACCTATCTTCTTCTCTACACCTGTTTTTTTTTTGTTTTTTTTTTTAGCAATAATTATTGAAATTATGCTATTGTTTTGTTCTTTTCTGGAAACTCACCGTGGATCCAAACCGCTAGCTACGCCACTGCCCCCGTGTCTCTGAAATAACTGTCCCTCTGTAAAAACAGAGCTAAATTGATTAAGGGTCACATTGAGTGCCAAGCGCTATGTATACTAATTTCGGAAGAGAAAGAAAAATTATCCCAACACACGCAATATTATCACGTCTGAATTTATTGATATAAACAAACTAAAGTAATTTGATGTAGTGCAAACGGCGCAATTTAATATAAAAAGCTCTGAGTAGGTAGACCTGACGAAGCACATACTATGCAGCTAAGGAAAGGATCGTTTGCATTGACTCGATGATTCCGACTACGGTCGATTCCTTTAAGAGGAAAGAGACTTACATGTTCATTGTAAACATTTTTATTACAAATATTTAAAGTCTCCCAATTAATAATTATACGGGGTCGTATGAGAAGATACCGGAAATATACTTGCTGAGATTGTATCGTTCAACGGAAATAGGCACCCAGGTAACACTCATTGGTAGCTGGCAAACTGAGTCAGTATGTAAATTGGATTCGTGATATCTACTTGCGTTCAATATTTACGCAAAGTTTTATAATATTTTGTTGCAACGGCTATGCGATCTTTACAGTGGTGAACAAATTTGATTGTTGTGCTCGCATCAAATTTTGTTTTAACGTCGGCAAACTTGGTAATGCTTTATCGGATATTTAGCAAACACTCGAACATAGATAAGTGACACATACGTTTAAAGACAGCAAACAACCCATCAACTCTGTTGATTGGAATCAGTTATGGTTTGTGCGAGATCTTAGACAGAGAACATTCCGATGTTACATCGACGGATCTCTTCCTTGCGCAATTCTGCGCCTATGTTCAAGACTTCGTTAGACATCTTGTTTAACCTATGTCTAACTACCTGGCCCTTGTCCCGCACGCTAGCCTGTCTAGCTAAACCTGTCTCCAAGGAGTCACCCCCCCAGCCTCCCCCGAGAAGACTATTTTTAAGTGTCTTCACCTTTTAAGCTTTATCTAGTGCGAGCCACTGACTATATTCG